GTTGGAGCTAGGAATAGCGTATTTGGGTAGGTACCTGTGAGGTAGTCTGATGGACGGGTGTTCGTGCTTGGTATTTTGTTTGCTAGATTTTTTCCTATCCTGGAGAAGAAAACATTAAGTCTGTTTGCTGTTTCAGTAGGTGTTTATCTGGAGTTTACCTGGAGAGAGTTCCGGGGGTCAACGCCCCCGCGGCCCGGTCTGTGACCAGGCCTCATGGTGGATCAGAGCCTGACCAACCAGGCTGTTACTGCTGGCTACACGCAAATCAACGTACGAGCCACAGCCCGGCTGGTCAGGTACCGACTTTAGGTGCTTGTCCAGTGCCAGCTTGAAGACTGCCAGGGGTCTGTTGGTAATCCCCCTTATGTATGCTGGGAGGCAGTTGAACAGTCTCGGGCCCCTGACACTTATTGTATTGTCTTTTAAACGTGCTAGTGACACCCCGGGCTTTTCATTGGGGATGTTGCATCGTCTGCCAAGTCTTTTGCTTTCGTTGTGAGTGATTTTCGTGTGCAAGTTCGGTACTAGTCCTCTGGGTTTTCCAGGTGTATATAATCATGTATCTCTCCCGCCTGCGTTCCAGGGAATACAGGTTCAGGAACTTCAAGCGCTCCCAGTAATTGAGGTGTTTTAATCTCCGTTATGCGCGCTGTGAAGGTTCTCTGTACATTTTCTAGGTCAGCAATTTCACCTGCCTTGAAAGGTGCTGTTAGTGTGCAGCAATTTTCCCAAAACCTAGATAGAACAAGTGACCTGAAGAGTGTCATCATGGCTTGGCCTCCCTACTTTTGAAGGTTCTCATTATCCATCCTGTCATTTTTCTAGCAGCTGCGATTGATACAATGTTATGGGCCCCTTTAAGGTGAGATCCTCCGACATGATCACTCTCAGGTCTTTGACGTTGGTGTTACGCTCTATTTTGTGGCCAGAATTTGTTTTGTACTCTGATGAAGATTTAATTCCCTCGTGTTTACCATATCTGAGTAATTGAAATTTCTCATCATTGAACTTCATATTGTTTTCTGCAGCCCATGAAAGATTTGGTTGATGTCCGCCTGGACTGCAGAGTCTGCAATGGAAGACACTGTCATGCAGATTCGGGTGTCATCTGCAAAGGGAAAACACAGTGCTGTGGCTGACATCCTTGTCTATGTCAGATATGAGGATGAGGGAACAAGATGGGAGCTAGTACTGTGCCTTGTGGAACAGAGCTTTTCACCGTAGCTGCCTCGGACTTTACTCTGTTGACTACTACTCTTTGTGTTCTGTTAGTGAGGAAATTATAGATCCATCTACCAACTTTTCTTGTTATTCCTTTAGCACGCATTTTGTGCGCTATTACGCCATGGTCACACTTGTCGAAGGCTTTTGCAAAGTCTGTGTATATTACATCTGCATTCATTTTGTCTTCTAGGTGTGAGTGAGGGTTCATCTGATTTTGTTAGTTTGTTTTGTTTTTGGATAACTGTTTAGTTCCAAGAATTTCAGATAGAGTTTTCCAGTTTTTTTTCATATCACCTTTGATGTTATGTAATCTATTTTCATAGTACAATTTTTTAGATCTTCTTATCAGGCTGGTAAGTGCTGACGAGTAACGTTTAGATTGTTCTCTAGTTATTTGACCCATTCTATACTGTTTTTCATATTTGTGCTTTGTGTTAATGGATTTGAGGATACTTGGTGTTAACCAGGGATTATTCAGTCACTTTGCTTTCCCAGTAATTAAGGTGGTTTATCGCAGTTATGCGTGCCATGAAGGTTCTCTGTACATTTTCTAGGTCAGCAATTTCACCTGCCTTGAAAGGTGCTGTTGTGTGCAGTAATATTCCAGCCTAGATAGAACAAACGACCTGAAGAGTGTCATCATGGGCTTGGCATCCCTAGTTTTGAAGGTTCTCGTTATCCATCCTGTCATTTTTTCTAGCAGATGTGATTGATACAATGTTATGGTCCTTGAAGGTGGGAGATGCGCCGGCAGGGGCAGAAGAAGAAAAGACCTGTGGGGAAACAGAGAGGAAGGGGTCTGGAAGGGGGCTGTGAAGAAGCAGCCTAGGAGGGAATAAGAGAAGAGGGGACTACGCGAGGGGGGTGAACCTCTACATTCACGTGAGAACTAGAAAGGGATGAGAGCTAGGCTCCAAGGCCGAAAAGAAGGACTGTTGGGAAATTGTAAACACCGAAGGAATGCAAAGTGACTTGGGTTTTGGGGATGGGTTCAACTTTGCAGGTGAGAGGTGCAAAGAAGGTGCAGGTATGCGAGGTCTCTAACACTTAGAAACTAGCAGGCGAAAAGATGAAGAAGCAGAGGTAGTAAGAAGTAAGGGGTGGGGGTTTCAGAGGGCAAAACTGCTAAGGAATTAGAGATGGGGTAACCACAGAAGACATGGCACTGGGGGGGAACCGCCAAGGTTGGAAGTCTCCTAGTTACTCGAGAATAAGAAACATGAGGAAGATTCCCCTGAAGGCAGAGCCAAGAGACAGCCATAGCATAAGGCCCTCGCTCTCCTTAAGACAATGGATTTCACATTCATTAAGACAGACTTGACATCTGCGGGTAAAAGGAAAGGTGAGCATTGTTGCAATGACGACAAGTGTGGGAAGACTTCAAGATATATCAGCATGATCCGCAACACCGCAGACCGGACACTCTGCCACAGACCTGCAGTATTTAGCAGGATGGCCAACAATTTCGACACTGTTGGGGCATGGTGACCACTTTATGGGCCCTTAGGTGATGTCCTGCATTGTAAATGGAGGACTGAAGCTCACGGCAAAGGTTAAGCAGGCAGTGTTACTGGGAAAGCTCCTCTGCCCACGGACGGGCAGGACATACCCATGCACTTTGAGAATCGGAAGGTCCTTGAGGGCTAATTGCTCTAAAATATCGTTACCGCAAGACAGAAAATCACACTGTACAATGACATGCGGTAAGACAATCGTACCACTGCAAGAATTGAGAGTAGCATGCTTGTGGACTGTGATAGGAGCTTTATCAATAGAAGTAAGAAGGGAAAAATTATGAGCTTGGCCCGCGTTTTGAATTGTAACGATGTGCGCACCACTCTGAAGATCATGAAAGGATTTATTTTGGCCAAAATGTCGTAAAAAAGCTTTACCAATACTGTGGTCTGAAAGATAATCAGTAGGAGGTGTCGGTTGCAAGGAAAAGAATTTGGTCCACTGTGTACTTGTAAATATGGTAGGCAAAGGAAGATGTTGTGTAGGTCATATCTGGATGGAATTAGCAGAAATCAAAGGAACATCGTCAGCAAATGGCCTGGAACGTTTAGGTGTAGGACCGCAGGCGGCCGACCTGAGGCAGGTGGGCGACCTGAGGCAGGTGGGCGACCTGAGGCAGGTGGGCGATCAGAAAATCGTTGTACCGTATCTGGGGAAGCCAGATGCATAGTCAAAGATGTGCAAAGGAACTAGAAGAGACAGGCGGAGCCTCTGCACCTGGACCAGGTGACGAAGCATCACCAGCAGAAGGTACAGGGGTATGGGAAAGGTCCAAAAAATGGTCCAGTAATGAAGCCAGGTCAGAACAGGATGCAATAACAAAAAAGGTCCTCGGGAGGAGGGGGAGGAGGAGGGGGAGGAGGAGGGGGAGGGGAGGAGGGGATCATGAAACGAAGCCTCCATAATATAATAATAATAATAATAATAATAATAATAATAATAATAATAATAATAATAAAATAATAATAATAAGAAAATAATAATAATAATAATAATAATAATAATAATAATAATAATAATAAAAATAATATTTTTATTTACTACATGTAAAAAGCATACAGGCCTAGCTGACAGCGATGGCATACTACTATATAGAAAGCCGCTTGTTATGCTGAGAATTTCTGGAAAATTAGGTCAGTTTTGTCTCAGGATGTGACCCATGCCAGTCAATTAACACCCATGTACGTATTTTACTGATGGGGAACACAGACAACCGGTGTAAAGAAACACGCCCAATGTTTCTACCCTCGCTGGGAACTGAACCCGGACACTCGCCTTGTGAAGCAAGAGCTTTAGCTACCATGCCACAGGGCACTATAGTGGTACTTATTTCTTATTATTATTTAAAGAAAAAAGAGAAAATAAAGAAAAAAAGAAAGAAATGGAGGGAAAGTTGAGCGACAGTTACCAGAAGGCATGAAAGGGCCATAAGTTCCCCTCCACATCCAAGAGGACCTCGACACCGACAGCAGCAGCACAGATGCAGCTTGGAACCCATCACCAATGTTGAAAGTTTGAAGCTAATCAGAGAAGGCTTTCTCAAGTTATCTCAGGAAAACCCAACACAGGAATGGTTTGTCTAACATTGACTGGAAGGCTCCTGCATATGCCAGTTGTTGCGTGAACCTCTCCTTAGTTCAGCACAACTGCGTTAAAAATTGGAGGATTTTTTTTTCAGTCAAATGGTTTACTAAAAAAAATTCAGTCAACCATTATAAGGTACCTCTTCATTAATGCCTAATTATTCTCAGGCCTTTAATTTCTTCTTCCCTGGATGATGATTATTATATTCACAACTAAGAGCTAAACCCAGAAGGGTTATACATTATTATTATTATTATAATCTCGAGAGAGCGTTAAACTTGTAGAATTATACAGCGCACCTGGGCGGGGGAATGGAAGGTATTCAGGCTCAATTCAGGGAACTGGAGCACAGATCCAATTCCCTAGATCAAGAGCTCCTCACCAGCGTCAAGGAACCTCCCTTCAGGGGACAAGGGTCACACAGCCTACCTTGGATGAAGACTATTTACCTCCCATTTCCTTAATACTTTGTAACCCTTTTGGGTTTAGCCTCGAGGAAGGTACCTTGATCTCAGCTAAGGGATCTTTATTTAAAGAATTAGACCTTTCTATTACCCCAGGCACTACGACCCCTGAGGGTGTAGAGCTCCTGGTCAGTATAACAGTAATGCAGTAAGAGTGAGTTTAGAGTCTCATATGAATATAAGAATCAGCGTAACTTTAGGAAAAAATAATAGTTATTATAACTTAACCTTTATTTTAATTATTGTACAAAAAAGCTTCATGTCCATCTACAACTTTATTTTTATAAAGAATTAGATATTAAAATTAGTAACGCAAAATTCTGCATTTAAAGATGAAGTTACTGGCTTCTACACCATAATGCAACATTTATATCAAGTATAGATGCCATGGTTCCTGACACTGTAAACAATGGCAACTGGCGTACACTTACATTCTTAGTAAACAAAACTGTCAGAATATTTAACACGGAGTTAGCATTGGTCATGAATATAATATGAACTTACTGAAGAAGCGGAAAGGAGAGACTATATAAATATTTCAAATGCATGTGCATAAAAATATAAGGTAACGTGGTATAACATGGTAGGGATACTCAGTCATGGTTACATGGTAATTGACGTTAAAGCAAATGAAAAATTAACAATTTAAACGAAATACTATGATAAAATGAGCATTATACTGATCATCATCCCCTTCTTCCCACAAAACAAATATAATGAAAACACCAGATAAAACCTAGTATTACACCACTTCTGGACAGGTTGAGAGGGCACATTGGTCCCTCAGGGCGTGAGTTTACCAGGTGTACATGATGGTGGCAACCATGATGAACTTGATCGCCATGAATTTACCAGAAGGTGTAAATGACTGTGCCCACCATGATAATCTTGACTACCATCCCTACCATGTATGAGGGGCCCCTGAGGAAGCTGCCGCGCAGGTACAACACTGTGTGGAGGATCCTTGCGATGGTGTAGATACGAAAGAGGACGCTGGCGGTGAAGAGTGAAGGTTGGGTGAGCACGTACAGTAGTCCACTCATCCAGAATACTGGGATGTTCTCCAGGTCATTTTGATGAGCTCTGCCATCGAAGCACATAGGTATTAGGTGCAAGAAGTTTTTCGTTAGGTACATCAGAATTACCTTGCTCCTCTGTCACCCTACTCCATATGAATTACGTGATGTAACTACGTTTTTCTATATGATTTACGTGCGTATGTATAGGAACACTATATTGTATATGATAGTTACATTGTGGAAACAAAATCTAGCCATATTTCCGAGTCATGTTACACAGGGTATCATGAAGTACACCGGCCTGAGCTGGGATACTTCAGTAGGACAATGAGAGGTTTAGGAGTGCATTATAATAATAATGACTATTTCAGATTAATGTACAAACATATACAAGTAGGTAAAACATCCCTCAAAGATGGACCTGGGACCAGGCCTTCCCTCCCATTCCTTGGATCGAACCTGATTACCTCCCTTTCCTCAGACACTGTATGATCCCCACAAGTTTGGCGCTCACCCGATGATGATTGGGGATCATGAATGATGACTGAGGATGACAACTGATGATTGAGGATGATGAATGAGAATTGAGGAATGAGGATGATGATAATACTGATGATGACTGATGATGATGATTTACATATTCTCCCATCAGCACAACTTCGAACCTTACAACTGACATACCATATTCTAATATTTACATATTGATCCAGGACTCACCCACTGACCCAGTACTCACCCACTGACTCAGTACTCACACCCACTGACTCAGTACACCCACTGACTCACTGACTCGGTACTCACACACTGACCCAGTCAGTACTCACCCACTGACCCAGTACTCGCCCACTGGCCCAGTACTCACCCACTGACCCAGTACTCACCCACTGACACAGTACTCACCTACTGAGCCAGTACTCACACCCACTGACTCAGTACTCAAACTCACTGACTCGGTACTCACCCACTGACCCAGTCAGTACTCACCCACTGACCCAGTACTCACCCACTGACCCAGTACTCACCCACTGACACAGTACTCACACACTGACCCATTACTCACCCACTGACCCAGTACTCGCTTACTGACCCAGTACTCACCCATTGACCCAGTACTCACCCACTGAACCAGTACTCGCCTACTGATCCAGTACTCACCCACTGACCCAGTATGCACCCAATGACCTAGTACTCGCCTACTGACCCAGTACTCACCCATTGACCCAGTACTCACTCACTGACCCAGTACTCACCCACTGACCCAGTACTCGCCTACCGACCCAGTACTCACCCACTGACCCAGTATTCAGCCAATGACCTAGTACTCGCCTACTGACCCAGTACTCACCCATTGACCCAGTACTCACCTACTGAGCCAGTACTCACACCCACTGACTCAGTACTCAAACTCACTGACTCGGTACTCACCCACTGACCCAGTCAGTACTCACCCACTGACCCAGTACTCACCCACTGACCCAGTACTCACCCACTGACACAGTACTCACACACTGACCCATTACTCACCCACTGACCCAGTACTCGCTTACTGACCAGTCCCTCACCCATTGACCCAGTACTCACCCACTGAACCAGTACTCGCCTACTGATCCAGTACTCACCCACTGACCCAGTATGCACCCAATGACCTAGTACTCGCCTACTGACCCAGTACTCACCCATTGACCCAGTACTCACCCACTGACCCAGTACTCGCCCACTGGCCCAGTACTCACCCACTGACCCAGTACTCACCCACTGACACAGTACTCACCTACTGACCCAGTACTCAAAACCCACTGACTCAGTACTCAAACTCACTGACTCGGTACTCACCCACTGACCCAGTCAGTACTCACCACTGACCCATACTCACCCACTGACCCAGTACTCACCCACTGACACAGTACTCACACACTGACCCATTACTCACCCACTGACCCAGTACTCGCTTACTGACCCAGTACTCACCCATTGACCCAGTACTCACCCACTGAACCAGTACTCGCCTACTGATCCAGTACTCACCCACTGACCCAGTATGCACCCAATGACCTAGTACTTGCCTACTGACCCAGTACTCACCCATTGACCCAGTACTCACTCACTGACCCAGTACTCACCCACTGACCCAGTACTCGCCTACCGACCCAGTACTCACCCACTGACCCAGTATTCAGCCAATGACCTAGTACTCGCCTACTGACCCAGTACTCACCCATTGACCCAGTACTCACCCACTGACCCAGTACTCGCCCACTGACCCAGTACTCGCCTACTGACCCAGTACTCACCCACTGACCCAGTATTCACCCAATGACCTAGTACTAGCCTACTTGTCATGTGGGTTCGATAACGTGGATTGGGTTCGATAACGTAGGCTGGTTAGTACATATAATTATAACGGAAAGTACGGGAAGCACCATCAGTTGCCCTGCCTCTCTCTGCTCTCTATCTCAGACTGACCCACCAGTGCCTAGAGGGTGAGCGGTGTTCAAAAACATGCTATGGTCAGCAGCAACGTGAATAACAGTCAGTGATTTACACAGACGGTTGGTAGTGAGTCATCTACTGGTAACGGGTTACTGGTAACTGGTACTACTGAGAGAGATTGACATACTGACCCAGTACTCACCCACTGACCTAGTACTAGCCTACTGATCCAGTACTCTCCTACTGACCCGGTACTCACCCACTGACCCAGTACTCGCCTATTGACTCAGTATTCACCTACTGACCCAGTACTCACCTTGTGGTGAAAAATCTCCAGTTTATGAAGGGGGGGATATCCCCCCTCATGAAGGTGGATAATGACCCTCTCCAAAAGGCTAGCCCTCTCAAAAGGGCTTGTGAACCATGTTGCTTTCTCCCTTCTACAGCAGAATTATCAAAACCATATGTTGGGTGAGGCGTCACAAGGCATGTCTCTTTACCAGACTCCTGCCCACTTGTACATACGAGTGGAAATCTATGGAAAAAGCTAATTCCCCATAGAAGGAAAAATTTGTCAAAAACTGTGCCCCTTTGATCTACACGCTAGGGTATTATAGCTCACTATACCCACCTAGAACCTAAGAAACAAGGATTCTAGGATGAAGTCTGTTGCTAAAGCTAGCAGTAAATGTCTATAAAACTGAAGTCAGCATTTCCTTTGGGGATGCGGTTTCGCGGTGCCAAGAGGACAGATTACTTCAACGAATGAATGGGAATGCGCGACAGAGGGCATCGCTGCTCTCCCGCTAAAGTACAAAGGAACAGGGGCCCAAATGCATTCGAGACTTGATCTGACAATCTCAGGAAAATAGGAAAGTTGACTGGTTTCCCCTCATACGAGTCAGGAAAATTCGAGGTAGAACTAATCACGAAGTGTTTATTAGCATCTACGTGTCTCTTTCCCCCCAGCGAACTTTGGGGAGTGATGAAGCAAAATACAGAGTTATTTAACTTTCTCCCCTGTTGTGAATAATCCCACGAAATCATACCGGGAGTTTACCTGGAGAGAGTTTCGGGGTCAACGCCCCCGCGGCCCGGTCTGTGACCGGGCCTCCTGGTGGATCAGCCCCTGATCAACCAGGCTGTTGGCTGCTGGCTGCACGGAAACCAACGTACGAGCCACAGCCCGGCTGATCAGGAACTAAATTTTTAGGTGCTTGTCCAGTGCCAGCTTGAAGACTGCCAGGGTCTGTTGGTAATCCCCCTTTTTGTGTGCGGGGAGGCAGTTGAACATCTCGGGCCCCCTGACACTTATTGTATGGTCTCTTAACGTGCTAGTGACACCCCTGCTTTTCATTGGGGGGATGTTGCATCGTCTGCCAAGTCTTTTGCTTTCGTAGTGAGTGATTTTCGTGTGCAAGTTCGGTACTAGTCCCTCTAGGATTTTCCAGGTGTATATAATCATGTATCTCTCCCTCCTGCTTTCCCCAGGGAAACGGGTTTTAGAAACCTCAAGCGCTCCCAGTAATTGAGGTGTTTTATCTCCGTTATGCGCGCCGTGAAAGTTCTCTGTACATTTTCTATTCGCAATTTCACCTGCCTTGAAAGGTGCTGTTAGAGTGCAGCAATATCCAGCCTAGATAGAAAAAGTGACCTGAAGAGTGTCACCCAGGGGTTTGGGCCCTCCCTAGTTTTGAAGGTTCTCATTATCCATCCTGTCTTTTTTTCTAGCAGATGCGTTTTGATACAATGTTAGGGTCCTTGAAGGTGAATCCTCCGACATTAATCACTCCCAGGTCTTTGACGTTGGTGTTTCGCTCTATTTTGTGGCCAGAATTTTTTTTGTACTCTGATGAATATTTAATTTCCTCATTTTTACCATATCTGAGTAATTGAAATTTCTCATCGTTAAAACTTCTATTTGTTTTTCCGCAGCCCACTGAAAATTTGGTTGATGTCCGCCGGAGCCTTGCAGTGCCCTGCAATGGAAGACACTGTCATGCAGATTCGGGTGTCATCTGCAAAGGAAGACACGGTGCTGTGGCTGACATCCTTGTTATGTCGGATATAGGATGAGGGACAAGATGGGAGCAGTATGTGCTTGGGGAACAGAGCTTTTCACCGTAGCTGCCTCGGACTTTACTCTGTTGACGACTACTCTCTGTGTTCTGTTAGTGAGGAAATTATAGATCCATCGACCGACTTTTCCTGTTATTCCTTTAGCACGCATTTTGTGCGCTATTACCCCCCATGGTCACACTTGTCGAAGGCTTTTGCAAAGTCTGTATATATTACATCTGCATTCTTTTTGTCTTCTAGTGCATTTAGGACCGTCGTAGTGATCCAATAGTTGAAAACAGGACAGGAGCGACCTGTTCTAAACCATGTTGCCCTGGGTTGTGTAACTGATGGGTTCTAGATGGGTGGTGATCTTGCTTCTTAGGACCCTTTCAAAGATTTTTATGATATGGGATGTTAGTGCTATTGGTCTGTAGTTCTTTGCTGTTGCTTTAACGGCCCCCTTTTGGGAGTGATAGTGAGTAACAATTATTGTAACCGGTGTGACTGGGCAATAACATTTCCGAACTGCTGTGACGAACACTAGTGCAACATTCCCCGAGTGACACTTGTTCTTTCCCAACTATCAAGACACTAATAACGGACTCGTGTCACTTCAACGACGCAGAACTCCAGCTAAAAAGAGTCAGGCAGTTTTATTCCCTTTCATTTTCCCCTTTAAAACACTGCAGTGCTTAGGCTAATGTTAAAAGAATATTTCTCACCTTTAGAGACTGTCATTAGAATTCCAACACCAAAACCCACGTGAGTAGATTTAGATTTTGCCACCGAAGTGACTAGTTTATTGTGCATCCCATATCCATCCTGTGGACGGTAGCGCAAGATTATATGGATACACAAAAGGTCTAATCATCATAATCCAAGATTTTGACATACTGGAATACATCCCAGGGGTCAAGTTAACCCAGATTACTCGCTATCCACAGCCGCTGTGAACACGACTGGCAGCAACATCGAAGGCGATTCCAGGGAGAGGCTGCTGGAAACAGTACTTTTTTAAAGTTATCATTTTTTTATCGTCATGCGGGAAAGTGTACTTATCTGAGATGCTCCTCCACACACTGACCCAGTACTCACCGACTGACCCAGTACACATCTACTGACCCAGTATTCATCTACTGACCCAGACTAGTCTACGACCCAGTATTCATCTACTGACCCAGTACTCGTCTACTGACCCAGTATTCATCTACGACCCAGTACTTGCCTACTGACCCAGTACTCGTCTACTGACCCAGTACTCACCTACTGACCCAGTACTCACCTACTGACCCAGTACTCACCTACTGACCCAGTACTCACCTACGACCCAGTACTTGCCTACTGACCCAGTACTCGTCTACTGACCCAGTACTCGTTTACTGACCCAGTATTCATCTACTGACCCAGTACTCGTCTACTGACCCAGTATTCATCTACGACCCAGACTTGCCTAGTGACCCAGTACTCTCTTACTGCCCCAAAGTACTACCTGTTGACCCAGTACTCACCTACTGCCCCAGTATCACCTACGACCCATACTCACCTACTGACCCAAAACTCGCCTACTGACCCAGTACTCACCTACTGACCCAGTACTCGCCTACTGACCCAGTACTCACCTACTGACCCAGTACTCGCCTACTGACCCAGTACTCACCTACTGACCAGTTACTCACCTACTGACCCAGTATTTCGCCTACTGACCCAGTACTCGCCTACTGACCCAGTATTTCACCTACTGACCCAGTACTCGCCTACTGCCCCAGTATCACCTACTGACCCAGTACTCACCTGCCCCAGTACTCACCTACTGACCCAGTACTCACCAACTGACCCTGGTAGGGGGATTTTAATTCCCACATATTAGAATAACCAAGAGACAGGGTAGTAACCCTCTTGCCTGGGCTAGTTGCTACACCTAAATACGCCCCACCCCCAGTAATCACACACCCAGTATCCACTCAGTACTCACCACATCCAGTACTCACCACACCCAGTACCCACCCACACCAGTCCCAAATAAGACCCAAGTACCCCCTTTAATTGATGGGTGAACATAGACAACGGTGTAAGGAAACACCGTGTTTAAGCGAGAGCTTTTGCCACCAAGCCTCGGACCCATTATGTACCTCTGTAATCTTTGACTACCGCCCACTGGATGGGTAAAAGGGTGCATAATAAACATATTAAACTAACTTAAACTAACCACCATACTCAGTACTCACCACACCCAGTACTTACCTCCTGACTCGCTCCACGTTCTCGTTAATCTTGGTACCTTTCACACCCATGGAAGCAGCGTCCTCAGGGTTAGCGAACGCCTGTACAGAGTACAAGACTGTCAAAATATAGAGTACAGAGTACAAGATTGTAGAGAGAGAGAGAGAAAAGAGAGAGGAAGAGAGAAAAGAGAGAGGAGAGAGAGAGAGAGAAAGCAGCAACTTCACTCTGGCTGTACCCTTCTCCAGAACATCACTCCATCTGAGATCATACATACCCAGGATGACTAGAGTATGGAACACATTCGTACATCATTATGATGTCAACGAGATAAAGTCAGTTGATCAAATGAAAATGCTGGCCCACAGATGGCTCAACTTCAACCTGTTTTCCCCACTTGTATGTCTCATAACAATAAAAATGCTTTCAAATGAGCTGATGTAGGTAACAGCTCTTAGCTTGCCAATAAAGTTAGGAACCCTTAACCTGTAAATAGCTTGTCAATAAAGCTAGGGATCCCTTAACCCAACCCCTGTCAACCTGTGTTAAAAAAAAAAAAAAAGAGAGAGAAATGAGGTGGTAGAGGTCAGGACGTCCAGGAAGCAGCAACTTCACTTAATAACGTTCTCCAGAACATCACTACATCATTTATTCCCAGGATGACTTGAGTCTGGAACATGTTCGTACAGCATAATATCAACTAAATAAAGACAGTTGGGTCACACAGACGGCTGGCCCACACATGGCTCCAACTTCATCCTGTTCCATATTTGTACGGATTATAACAACAATAAGATTTTCAAAAAAGCTGACGTCAGTAACAGCTCTTAAGCTTGAAATTAAAATTAGGAATCCTTACCCAAACATTGTAAAAATCTGTGCATAAAAAAGAGGGGGGGGATGAGAGTTTACGACTATACATCAGAATAAAATAGGTGGAAGGATGGTGCTTTGTGGGTGGAAGGATGGTGACTGTGAGTGAAGGATGGTGACTTTGTGGTGGAAAAATAGTGACTTTGTGGTGGAAGGATAGTGACTTTGTGGGTGGAAGGATAGTGACTTTGTGGGGGAAGGATGGCGACTTTGTGAGTGGAAGGATGGTGACTTTTGTGGGTGGAAGGATAGTGACTTTGGGGGGTGGAAAAATAGTGACTTTGTGGGTGGAAGGATAGGGGACTTTGTGGGTGGAAGGAGGTGACTTTGTGGGTGGAAGGATGGTGACTTTGTGGGTGGAAAGGGTGGTGACTTTGTGGAAGGAAGTGACTTTGTGGGTGGGAAAGGGTAGTGACTTTGTGGTGGGAAAGGGTGGTGACTTTGTGGGTGAAGGATGGTGACTTTGAGGGTGGAAGGATGGTGACTTTGTGGGTGGAAGGATGGTGACTTTGTGGGTGGAAGGATGGTGACTGTGAGTGGAAGGTGGTGACTTTGTGGGTGGAAAAATAGTGACTTTGTGGGTGGAAGGATAGTGACTTTGTGGGTGGAAGGATATGACTTTGGGGGTGGAAGGATGGTGACTTTGTGGGGGGAAGGATGGCGACTTTGGAGTGGAAGGATGGTGACTTTGTGGGTGGGAAAGGGTAGTGACTTTGTGGGTGGAAGGATAGTGACTTTGTGGGTGGAAGGATGTGACTTTTGGGTGGAAGGATGGTGACTTTGTGGGTGGAAGGATAGTGACTTTGTGGTGGAAGGATAGTGACTTTGTGGGTGGAAGGATGGTGACTTTGTGGGTGGAAGGATAGTGACTTTGTGGGTGGAAGTGGGGACTTTGTGGGTGGAAAGAAGGTGACTTTGTGGGTGGAAGGATGGTACTTTGTGGGTGGAAGGATGGTGACTTTGTGGGTGGAAGGATAGTGACTTTGTGGGTGGAAGGATAGTGACTTTGTGGGTGGGAAGGATGTGACTTTGTGGGGGGAAGGGTGGTGACTTTGTGGGTGGAAGGATGGTGACTTTGTGGGTGGAAAGATGGGGACTTTGTTTGGGGGGAAGGGTGGTGACTTTGTGGGGGAAGGAAAGGTGACTTTGTGGGTGGAAGGATATGACTTTGTGGGTGGAAGGAAGTGACTTTGTGGGTGGAAGATGGTGACTTTGTGGGTGGAAGGATGGTGACTTTGTTGGGGAAGGATGGTGACTTTGTGGGTGGAAGGGGTAGTGGGTTTGGGGGAAGGATGGGACTTGTGGGTGGAAGGTAGTGACTTTGTGGGTGGAAGGATGGTGACTTTGTGGGTGGAAGATAGGACTTTGTGGGTGTAAGGGTGGTGACTTTGTGGGTGGAAAGGATAGTGACTTTGTGGGTGGAAGGATAGTGACTTTTTGGGTGGAAAAGGATAGTGACTTTGTGGGTGGAAGATGGTGACTTTGTGGGGGGAAGGATGGTGACTTTGTGGGTGGAAGGATGGTGACTTTGTGGGTGGAAGGATAGTGACTTTGTGGGTGGAAGGATGGTGACTTTGTGGGTGGAAGGATGGTGACTTTGTGGGGGGAAGGATGGTGACTTTGGGGTGGAAGGATGGTGACTTTGTGGGGGGAAGGTTGGGACTTTGTGGGTGGAAGGATGGTGACTTTGTGGGTGGAAGGATGGTGACTTTGTGGGTGGAAGGATAGTGACTTTTGTGGTGTGGAAGGGTGGTGACTTTGTGGATGGGAAAGGGTGGTGACTTTGTGGAGGAAGGATGGTGACCTTTTTGGGTGGAAGGGCGGTGACTTTGTGGGTGGAAGGATGGTGACCTTGTGGGTGAAAGGATGGTGACCTTGTGGGTGAAAGGATGGTGACTTTGTGGGTGGAAGGGTGGTGACTTTGTGGGTGGAAGGATGGTGACTTTGGGTGGAAGGATGGTGACTTTGTGGGTGGAAGGATGGTGACTTTGTGGGTGGAAGGATGGTGACTTTTTGTGGATGGAAAGGATGGTGACTTTTTTGGGTGGAAGGATGGTGACTTTGTGGGTGGAAGGATGGGGACTTTGTGGGTGGAAGGATGGGGACTTTTGTGGGTGGAAGATGTTGACTTTGTGGGTGGAATGATGGTGACTTTGTGGGAGGAAGGATAGTGACTTGTGGGGGGAAGGATAGTGGCCTTGTGGGTGGAAGGGTGGTGACTTTGGGTGGAAGGATTTGTGGCCTTGTGGGTGGAAGGATGGTGACTTTGTGGGTGGAAGGATAGTGGCCTTGTGGGTGAAGGATAGTGACTTTGTGGGTGGAAGGATAGTGACTTTGTGGGTGGAAGGGTAGTGACTTTTGGGTGGAAGGGTAATGGCCTTGTGGGTGGAAGGATGGTGACTTTGTGGGTGAGGATAGTGACTTTGTGGGTGGAAGGATAGTGACTTTGTGGGTGGAAGGATAGTGGGCCCTTTTGGGTGAAGGATAGTTTACTTTGTGGGTGGAAGGATAGTGACTTGTGGGTGGAAGATAGTGACTTTGTGGTGGAAGGATGGTGACTTGTGGGTGGGAAAGGATGGTGACTTTGTGGGTGGAAGGGTAGTGAATTTTTGGGGTGGAAGGATGGTGACTTTGTGGGGGGAAGGATAGTGACTTTATGGGTGGAAGAATAGTGACTTTGTGGGTGGAGGCATAGTGACTTTGTGAGTGGAAGGATGGTGACTTTGTGGGTGGAAGGATGGTGACTTTGTGGGTGGAAGGATAGTGGCCTTGTGGGTGGAAGGATGGTGACTTTGTGGGTGGAAGGATGGTGACTTTGTGGGTGGAAGGATGGTGACTTTGTGGGTGGAAGGATGGTGACTTTGTGGGTGGAAGGATAGTGACTTTGTGAGTGGAAGGATAGTGACTTTGTGGGTGGAAGGATGGTGACTTTGTGGGTGGAGGCATAGTGACTTTGTGAGTGGAAGGATGGTGACTTTGTGGGTGAATGGATAGTGACCTTGTGGGTGGAGGGATAGTGACCTTGTGGGTGGAGGGATAGTGACCTTGTGGATGGAGGGATAGTGACCTTGTGGGTGAAGGGATAGTGGCCATGTGGGTGTATAGAGAGATACCTTGCGGGTTACGCGGAAGTATCCTGTGATAGGTCCCATGATAAGCATCTTGGCAGCTAGCACTGCTGACCAGAATACATAGCTGGTGAAGACAGGGTTATCTAGCGTCCACCCCGTCATCTTGAACTACTGCTGCAGTCTTAGTGATGCTCAGTCTTCTGCTCTCCTACACTTCTTCTTTTATTTCGAACCGTTTACCAGGTACTATAAAAAATGTAGAAATAACGAATTAAGAATGTTACAAACATAGAGGGACATTATTAGAGATTCTTCTCGCAGGCAGTGATCATTACCAATGTTGCTTGCTTCAGTACCCTCTCCACTACTCTCTCTCCTCCACTACAATCAGTCCTCTCCACTACTCTCTCTCCTCCACTACAATCAGTCCTCTCCACTACTCTATCTCCTCCCTACCTCAGTCCTCTCCACTACCTCTCTCCTCCACTACAATCAGTCCCCTCCACTACTCTATCTCCTCCAATACAATCAGTCCCTCCACTACTCTATCTCCTCCACTACAATCAGTCCTCTCCACTACTCTCTCCTCCACTACAATCAGTCCTCTCCACTACTCTATCTCCTCCACTACAATCAGTCCTCTCCACTACTCTCTCTCCTCCACTACAATCAGTCCTCTCCACTACTCTATCTCCTCCAAATACAATCAGTCCTCTCCACTACTCTATCTCCTCCACTACAATCAGTCCTCTCCACTACTCTCTCCTCCACTACAATCAGTCCTCTCCACTACTCTATCTCCTCCACTACAATCAGTCCTCTCCACTACTCTCTCCTCCACTACAATCAGTCCTCTCCACTACTCTCTCCTACACTACAATCAGTCCTCTCCACTACTCTCTTCCACTACAATTAGTGCTCTCCACTACTCTCTCTTCCACTACAATCAGTCCTCTCCACTACTCTCTCTTCCACTACAATCAGTCCTCTCCACTACTCTCTCCTCCACTGCAATCAGTCCTCTCCACTACTCTCTCCTCCACTACAATCAGTTTCTCTCCACTACTCTCTCCTCCTCTACAATCAGTCCTCTCCTCTACACTCTCCTCCACTACAATCAGTCCTCTCCACTACTCTCTCCTCCACTACAACCAATCCTCTCCACTACTCTCTTCCACTACAATCAGTCCTTTTTCACTATTCTCTCCTTCACTACAATCAGTCCTCTCCACTACTCTCTCCTCCACTACAATCAGACCTCTCCACTACTCTCTCTTCCACTACAATCAGTCCTCTCCACTACTCTCTCCTCCACTACAATCAGTCATCTCCACTACTCTCTCCTACACTACAATCAGTCCTCTCCACTATTCTCTCTTCCACTACAATCAGTCCTCTCCACTACTCTCTTCCACTACAATCAGTCCTCTCCACTACTCTCTCTTCCACTACAATCAGTCCTCTCCACTACTCTCTCTTCCACTACAATCAGTCCTCTCCACTACTCTTTCTTCCACTACAATCAATCCTCTCCACTACTCTCTCTTCCACTACAATCAGTCCTCTCCACTACTCTCTCCTACACTACAATCATTCCTCTCCACTACTCTCTCCTCCACTACAATCAGTCCTCTCCACTATTCTCTCTTCCACTACAATCAGTCCTCTCCACTACTCTCTTCCACTACAATCAGTCCTTTTTCACTACTCTCTCCTTCACTACAATCAGTCCTCTCCACTACTCTCTCCTCCACTACAATCAATCCTCTCCACTACTCTCTCTACCACTACAATCATTCCTCTCCACAACTCTCTCCTCCACTACAATCAGTCTCAGTAGTAGTAACCAGTTACCAGTCTCAGTAGTAGTAACCAGTTACCAGTAACCTGTCCGTTGACTCAACGACCAACCGTCTTGAGTCACGGTCTTTCATATTGTGCTGAGCTGACACTAATTCAAAAGACCCACTACGGGGTACTGGCCAGCCGGCTAGGCAGTGTTACGAGTGGAAGCAAGGAGATAGGTACGGCTGCGGGCACTCTCCACATAACAGTAATTATACGTATAATTACTGTTATGTGGAGAGTGCCCGCAGCCGTACCTATCTCCTTGCTTCCACTCGTAACACTGCCTAGCCGGCTGGCCAGTACCCCGTAGTATGTCTTTTGAATTAGTGTCAGCTCAGCACAATATGAAAGACCGTGACTCAAGACGGTTGGTCGTTGAGTCAACGGACAGGTTACTGGTAACTGGTTACTACTACTGAGACTGGTAACTGGTTACTACTACTGAGAGCTCGGCGACGCTAACGTATGTCGTCTCGACATACAACTAATACAAACTAGAGATGGCAGGTATACGGCTTGGGCTGATTCTATACAATGTCAAAGTACACAACATGAAACATTATAGATACATAAGTAGAACATTGGAATGAAAGCTTACGTAACTGAAACTGTAATGCAATACAAGGTATACTATAGTACAACTTAAAACTCAACAAATGAACAACGAACTCAACATTGAGATTACAAGTGATAAAAACAAAAATTTTGATCGATCGATCTGTATTCGTGTGATCTACGGATTCTGAGGAAGGAATATATACAAAGAAAGAGTGTTTAACAGAAAGACAGATTCGGTGCACGCAAATCTAGACTGTTAACTCTCAGAATGCGGAGAGAACATGAACACAAAAAAAAATTCTTGAATACTGATAAGTTGATACTGTAATTATTCATCTATACAGGTTATTTACATTTAACCCCAACTCTGCTAGGGTGTGATTGACATATGCAGAATGGGTGTCATCTCTGGGAGGATCAAACTCTGTAGCATTGGCTTACTCATGCTGTATTTGAGGCAAATCTGAATTGGAAGTTACAAATGATACTTGAGGATTTCTCAATACCTGTCGTGTACGTAGGGAATAACGACATTCAGGTTGATCTTCTGACTGAGTATCAGAGGAAGAGAGTACAGGATCAGGAGGATTGTCAGAGTCTGTCACATTAGTCTGGGTTGGAACATCATTATCATCACATACTAACTTCATATGATCCAAATGCGATTCTTTATACTGACCAGTACTAATCTCTCTAACCTTATACTTATTACCAGTGATATGTTCAACTACTCGATAAGGACCAACAAACTTTTGATCAAGCTTTGGCATTGCAGACGTTTTGTTAAAGTTAGTCAGCATAACTCTCGAACCTACTTTGATTTTGGATGGCTTTACTCGAGTATTTGCAACTCTTGTAAATTCAGCTGTTGATTTATGAAGTGTTTCACGGATTCTTCTAAAAAACACTTTGAGCTAAGCTGGTACGAGTTGCTACGAAATCATCAGGGTTGTAATTTGGTTCGGATTAGAATATAACAACTCATAAGGCAAACGTTTATCTACACCATACAATGCATAATGTGGAGTGTCACCTATAGAAACATTGTAAGCAGAATTTATAGCACACTGCACATCAGTATAACTTCATCCCAAGTTTCACTGTTGGGATTGATAGTGGCTCTCAAGACATCAAGTACTTTCTTATTGGTTCGTTCCGCTAACCCATTGCTGGCAGGATGATGAGGAACAATGGTGGATTTAGAGATCTTGTACAAGGTACACAAATTTCAAGAATTTCATTACAGAATTCACCTCCATTGTCTGTTACTAGGGACTTAGGGGTGGTAATGCCTGCAGTTTAATGCGTTCTTTAAACGCTTTAGCTACTGTCTCGGCAGTCTTATCTGCAATAGGAACTAACTCGCAATATCTGGTGAAATGGTCTACCATAACACACAGATGTTTGTTACCTTGGAGGGAACATCGGAAATTAGTTAACAAATCTAGTGCAACTCTTTTCCCAAGGTTCGCTAGTAGTTGGATACACTTGGATTGGATTAGGACCATTAGCATTGCCTTTATGTTGCATGCAGACACTACATTTCCTAACATACTCAGAAATATCAGTTGCCATACGAGGCCAAAAGTATTTCAATCTGGCTTGTTTTACTGAACGATCCATACCAGGGTGTGCAACACCTGGTACATCGTAAAACTAGCTGTAAGGCTACATTCACTAGTGACTGTGGAATTTACTAACTGGTATACTCTTCTGCTAGGAGTACCCAACTCTGCTGTTCGATACAGTAATTCTTGGTTCATGACAAAGTCACTGATGGGTGTTTGGTGGCTTCACATTCAGAATAAGATCTTCCTGGAGCAGGAATCGAATCACACCAGACCACATGGGATCTGTTCGTTGAGCATTCTTTACATCTTCAGCACTAAATGGAGGGTCTGCAGTTACTATACTAACATGTCGCGATAAGGCATCTGCGACTACATTTGACTTGCCAGGTAAATGCTCAAAGGTGGGATTGAACTCTTGGATAGTCAAGGTCCATCTAGCTAACCTTCCAGTAGGTTGTTTGTTCTGGAATAAGGGTATCAGTGGAGCATGATCTGTCAAGACATGAACAGAGTACTGATAAATAATGTCTCGGAAGTGCTTTAAAGACATTTGCGAGTGTGAGACATTTATAGTAAATTGCTTGTGTACTCTAAACCTTGTGTTTTTCAGTGTAAACGCAGTATTCTTTGACTCAGTATTTTTTTTTACAATATTTTTCAGTGTTTTCACTTATATTATTCTCCTGTGTTTTTCTTTATGCTATTCGTCTGTCGTAAGTATTATTGTGTAGTGTACCAGTCAGTCACCCTGTGTGAAGTGATTCAATTTTTTTTTTATTGTATTGTCATTGTATTTCATGCAGTGATATTCACCCCAGTATACCAAATTTTCCATTTATTTCTATGTGTGTCATTTTTTTTCGTATGCCAACAGTGTCTCATTTCTCTAATTTTTTCGCAGACTGTGTACCATTATTTTTGCCAGCAAATTTTTGTCGTATCAGTCACAGCAAGATTTTTGTTGTATCAGTCACAGCAAGATTTTGTTGTATCAGTCACAGCAGGATTTTGTTGTGAGAATATATTTTAATGAAGTGTGCCACGCAACTGTAAGTGTTATATTCCCTGTTTTGTTCCTGTGTTTTATTTTCTTCATATTTTTGTAATTTCTTGAACAAATTCACTCTTGATGCAATTTCAATTACTTTTAACGTAAAGTGTTTTCTTTACTCTGTTTGAGTAAATTGTTTTGTCTAATTTACAATTAAGAGTTAAAGTGTTCAATCAGTTTATTTTTTTGATCTTCATATTTTAATTCATTATTTTACCTGAGTTTTCCCAGTGACACTTTATTACTGCAGTG